AGTTCATCGCTGCCCGCGGCTCGAAGAAGGGTTCTTCCAAGTTATAGTACTTCGATTCAATTCAGCATCCGCATTGTGGAATAAGAGATGGGGGGAAATTGGAAATGCAGTTCTTTTTATGGAGAAATGATTAATAAGTTGGTATTTGGAATCCAGTTCTGATTTGTGTTCTTTAGCGCGCCATTGCGCAAAATCATAAGGCTGATGGAGAGTTTCTCTGCGTGGTTGGTTTATCTGATGGAGTTGATGAGAGTTTCTCTACTTAGTTTATCTGATGGAGTTCTTGGGCGATGTCTCGGTTAGGTTATCGTTCATGTGGGTGTGGTTGGTTTTGAATAGAGTTGACAATTTTCAATTCAATCCATCAATTCAATTTAGGGTAAATGACACATTTGGTCACTGAGATTACTAAATCGTGTCATATTTAGTCACTAGAAAAATTTAATATCAATTTTGGTCACTCGAATTACTAAAACATGTCACATTTGGTCACTCTTCTATAGCCTCTGTCCAACTCCGGTCACTCGAATTATTGAAAAATGTCACATTTAGTCACTCGGATTACTGAAACATGTCACATTTAGTCACTCTCCCAAAAGTTTCCATCCAACTACATTAATGGAGTTGGACGGAAACTGACGGGAGAGTGACTAAATTTGACCAGTTTCGGTAATTCGAGTGACCAAAATTGATATTAATTTTTTCTAGTGACTAAACATGACACAGTTTAATAATCTCAGTGACCAAATGTGTCATTTACCCATTCAATTTATTAACTAAAATATTCAATTAATTCAATCTATTTGACCAAAATCCATTTAGATTGGTGGATTCATGGTGCCAATGATAAATTACGGTTTAGTACCTATACTTTTTATATTTAAAATTTTGGTATTCAAAATTTATTTTTTATACGAAAAATATCATTGAAAAATTACGTTTGATACCTAATTTTTTTTTACTATGTCATTTTAGTACCCCAAACTTTTCAAATCTAGAAATTGGTTAAAGACTTGGATGTCATTTGAATTCATAGATACCAAATTCACTTGATTCAATTCATGAATCCATTTGAACCAAACAACTTAATCCATGGATATACCAATCCAATCCATCAATTCATGTATCCAATCCAATTGTCACCTCTAGTTTTGAAGTATGCTGCAGAGTTTTATGTCGACGCATATCTTGTTTCATATTCTAAACCCAACCAAAATCATTTTGAAACCAACAAAATATATTATTTGGATATTTGCCATGTATAATACTACTTTTTAATTTTAAATAATAATTATATGTTAACTTTCTTTATAAATAGTGGTATTTGTGAACTAAAAAGATAATGCCTCCATAAGTCTCAAATTTTAAACTAATTACAAATACGGGTATTTGTGAACTAAGAAGATGCACCACTACGTACGGGGAACATAGACCAGACCGTTAGAAAAACCGTGGTCCAAACCGTATCACAGAGTTTGGTCCGGACCGTAGACCGTGAAGTATGGTCTGGTCTGGTCCATGGTCTATATTATTTTATGATTTGATCTCTTGGTCTGGTCTGGTCTAGACCGCGGTTTACCGGACCAAACCGTGGACCCAACTGACTTGTCAATACGTGTTAACAGCCCATTCGACCACTCTCCAAACTCCCACAACGATACCCAAGTCTCAACCTTAATTGTGTGAATCTCTTCCCTCCTTCATTCACAACCACATTTAACCAGAGAGTAGAGATAATAGTGTCTCCATATGACATTATGTTAATGTTTATGACGTTATAGTGCAAGCTTGAATGTTTTTACTTTGTATCTTTGTTATGTACTAAGATTTAGAGTATCAAAATTATTCATACATGTTAGGATTAATGTTTTAAGGCAAATAACAATTATTTTTCTTGGTTATTGGTTCAATTTTTGTGTGGTTGATTAAACAAATTATTCATTTTTCGTTGAGTGTGGTCTATCTGAACCAGACCAGACCGAACCAGACCGCACAGGCGTTGTCTGAACCGGACCGTATAGTCTGTGGTCTGGTCTGTGGTCTATACTTTAGCCTCTCGGTCTAGATCATAGACCGTATATATGGTCTGGTCTGGACCAGACCACACCGTTTTCCAGCCCTATCATGACCCTCTTCGTGGCTTGTGAAATTCGGGGGAAAAAAAATTCAATTTGGAGAGAAGACAAAGCAATAACATAGAAAATAAATAATATAAAGAGAAGGATAGAAGTGGGCTAACATTAAATAGGTAAGGTAGTAAGGACATAGTTGGAAAATTTGGACTAAATTAATGAGTTATTTGAAAATGACTCGATAGAGTCATTTGAGACTTTTGTATGGACGAAATGACTTATACATTTTTTTTCTTTAGCAAACGACTCATACAAATTACTCAAACAAACGAACCCTTAAAATAAAGCTTGGATGTACAAATTGAAGTTGTACCATAAGGGAATTTGAACATTTATGTTATGATACAACTTTCAATTGTACCATTACATAAATGTACAACTTTAGTTTGTACCGAAAAGATATTTATACAAAAAGAGTATAGGTACAACCTAGGGATGGAAATTGAACCCATGACCGCAAATACCCGACCGCTCCCGACCCAGTCAACGTGGGGAATCCACGCATTGACTGGGTGTGGGACTGCTGGACGTGTATGGGAAAAACCCGCAAAACTTTTGATGGGTATGGGGTGTGTATGGTTTTAGTCTCCCCCGCCCAAACCCAAACCCAAACCCATACTCGCCCCACTAAGAGCATTTATTCACATATAAAAAATACATGGATCAAATTGTAACCTATTAATGATAATGAGGAAAACTCAAGATATAAATAGGTAGAAATGCAATTGAGTGGCCACCCAAATCAAAACCTAATTCATTTTCTTCAACTCTATATTCACTCTTTCACTTTTTCTCTCGTGTTAACAAGATCATGTTAGTTAGTAGATGTAGTAGAGTCAGAGAATAATAATTAAGATTGCATTGTACTCTATCTTATGGATTAATGAATGTTTTAGTATAACATTCTTTGAATCGTATTAAGAATGATTGTCTCTTTTGTCGACTTATGATATTGTAGGTGTGTTTAATGTTATAATTTAAAATTCACACGTAAAATTTTAGGTATTATAATGTTAGATGTACGAGGCGGGTATTTCACATGTATACTTGAAACCCACGGGTATGTGAAAGGGTTTGCAAAACTTTCCCCGCATGGTTATGGGGTGAGTATGAGTTTTGGATATTTGAAAGTGGGAATGAGATGGTTTAGAAAAACCCACACCAAACCCGTCAAGTTGTCATTCCTAATACAAGCTGAAATTGTACCATAATATTAAAGCACAATTTCAAGTTATACCATAATATTAAAAGCACAATTCTCAAGACACTCGAGGGCAAGCAAGTCTAATTAGTGAGTCTAACTTTTGACATCATGTAGGTCGAGTTGGGCTAATTTGGACCGGGAACCATGTTGATTAATTAATGTCACGTAGATTATGACAAAAGTTTCATATCCTTGTGATGCATAGGCTGCATGTGACAGAAGAGCATTATGGATCTGAATTGCTATTTATAGCCCTAGCTTTTTCTTATTTATAGCCCTAAGAGAATGTAATTACTATTTTACCCTTCCTTCCTTTTAAAATATTGAACTTGTTACAACTCCAACCAAACACTCCCTTCCCTACCAATTCACCTCGCCGGATTCCTCCCAGATTCCTCCCAAATATTCTCGCCGGCGACGACGAGCTCTCGCCGGAGACGTGACTCGCCCCATCTCTCCTGTCGCCGGTTTCCTCTCAAATACGACGACCACCTCTCGCCGGAGACGACGACCTCTCGCCGGAGACGAAATCAGAGCGCTTCGCGAAGGTAATTTTTAATTTTTGCACGAAGCAGGTGACGACCGGCCGTTTGACCCGCCGCCGGCAAGGGCGACGTCCTGCCCAGACGTCGCCGGCGACGGATGAACGTCCTGGCCGGACGTTTGTCCGTCGCCGGCGACGTCTGGGCAGGGCGTCGCCCTCGCCGGCGGGCCGGACGTTCGTCCGTCGCCGGCGACGCCTGGGCAGGACGTCGCCCTCGCCGGCGGCGGTCAAACTGCCGTTGACCGGCCTTTTGACTCGCCGCCGGCGAGGGCGACGTCCTGCCCAGACGTCGCCGGCGACGGACGAACATCCGGCCAGGACGTTCGTCCGTCGCCGGCGGCGAGTCAATTTTTTTTTTTTTAAATTTAGGTTATTTATTTATTATAATTAAATCGACGTCGTCGGAGAAAGGAGCTGTCGACGGCGGGGGTGGCGGTCGCCGGCGGGGGTGGCGGTCGCCGGCGGGGGTGGCGGTCGCCGGCGGGGGTGGCGGTCGCCGGCGGGAGGTGGCGCGGTCGCTGGCGGGAGGTGGCGGTCGCCGACGGGAGGTGGCGGTCGCCGGCGGCGAGTGTTGTTGGATTGTGTTTGGAAAAGTGTTTGAATGTTTTGGTCTTGGAATGTGTGAAGTAAATGTATATAAATGTTATGGGTATTATTGTACTTTTTATAATTTAGGGCTACAAATAAAAATAATTTAGGGCTACAAATAGTACGACCCATATGGATCCTCCCCTAACCAAACAGGACTTCATTGAAAATACAATGACGAAAAGTAATAATCAAACTATTTCACATTACAATCCATATATATTAAATGAAAATTTCGCGCCAAATTCAAATTATTTATCAGAAACAAACAACTATTCCACGTCACCCATTAATCAAATTGATGTATCTATCTATCCCACATTACAACTCACAACCATAATATTTCTTTTCTGATTTCGCACCAAACTAAAATCTCACTAAAATAACTCCCATCAACAAACCTGATATGACCTATGAAAAGTTCATTCATTTCCCACGGTAGCTCACTGTAAAACTACACAAAAAGGAGAGACCACCAAGGTTCAATGTTGTAGCTGTAGTCACTCATTTCCCACTATAGTCCCCACTGTAAGACCATCACAGATCGAAGACGGACACCATGAAACACTACATCAATGAGTTACACAACAACAAAGTCTAGCATTAACAACAAATCCCCCCTAGTTTCCCAATCAGTACAAGTACAGGAAACAAATTCGTCATCCTCTGTTTTCTCAGAGCTCACAGGATCAATCAGACTTCCAGCTTGCAAAACGTTCAAGTACTACGGATGGTGCAGGAATCATGGCTTAGTAATCTGCGTGAAGAAAATGAATCGAGTTTAGTTCACCATCAAAGGAATGCTGTCATGGAAGATAACGGTGATGAGAAAAAGGAAGACATATAGGCTGTAATAGCCATCAGAAATTCACAATCTAGTGTCACATTGTCCCATACATTTAAAACCAACATTCCATATCGAGTTCAAAAAGACGAGCATGGTTTCGTTAGACGGATGGACCCACCTCAGTAACTCGATCGCCATAGTAAATTCTTGGAGCAGACCTGCCGAAGAAGTAAGCAATCACATCCTGATGATGATCAGTTATCACGGCCCTGTCTTCCTTATGACGCAAAGTCAAGGACTTCAATCTTCGAAAAGGCGAAGGTCGACCTCTCAACAGCTGACAAGCACTCCAGAATGCCTAAAACCAAAGCGTAAACCCAAACAACATGAAGAGAATAAGCTTGTCTTTCAACCCACGTAACATATATCAAAGACCAAGAACAACTTCCATAAACAGGTGCAACGGGGAAAAGACCATAGAGGCATAGACCAACAACTTAGATAAATGCCCTGTAGCAGTAAGATATGATATGAGTTGATGCACATATATAGTTATTACCAGCGAGCTTACCGTGGTGGTACCAAATTTGAAGATAAGAGATTCCGCTCGACGCAGACCATGGATTAACACTGCATACCCATTCTGTACGTTTTCCTTAATCTCGTCAACAGTCGAATCTTTGTATCCCTTCAAGTTGACAGCTGCATGCTCTAAGGATGGAGCGTCCAAGGAGACTTCTGTTATCGGATAAGAATCGAGAATCTCGAACTTAAAAGTAAATGATGTGAGCTTGGCAGCTGAAACTGTGATCTCGGAGAAACCAATTGGTTTGTTTATTTCCAGAGTCAGCAACTGGTGACCGTTTACTCCCAAGACGGCAGTATCAACAAGAGGGTCGTCATCCCGGTGAATATGGCGGAAGCAAGAACTCAGGCTCAACTGCTTCAACGCTGGGAACCCAGCAAAAGGGTCGATTTCCTCCTCGCCAATGAAATCAAAGCAGACCCCGTCCAAAACCAATTCTCTGAGTACTCTGAAACTAGACCAGGACTCCCGCCCAAATGCCGTTACTGAAAACTTGAATTCTTCCAGCTGCAGTTTCTCCAGCGACTCGGCACAAGTGGAGATCGATTCGAAAGCAGTCTGCGAGTGATGAGACTCATCCATGAATCCAGAGCAACCGAGAACCCGCAGATCCTGAAGCCCTACTGAAGGCACGCGTTCCATGAGTCTATCAAAGATTTCGGTTTCGGATTCGTCCGCGAACTCGATGGTGATCTTGAGGGACTGAACCATATTTCCCCCCCACCTGCTCGATAAAATGCGGCTTAGAAAACCAGTCCAGGCGTCTAAAAAAACAACGCACACAAACAAGATTCAGTGCATATGCCAAAATCGCAGCCGTCAATGGATCAAAAGGATGCACATAATCCTTCCGTCATCTACAAAGACCTTGTTCGAACAAGCGCGGAAAGACTCACAATCTTGGACATAGCTTACGAACAGATGGAGTGCATAGTTCAAGAACCGTAACCAATCAAGCTCTGAAACAGAGAGAGAGAGAGAGAGGGGTGGTGGTGGTTACCTGGACGAGAAACTGGCCTCGAGAGGGAGGAAGCCTCGAGAGGAAACGGAAAGAGAACTGGATTTGGGAAACGATCGCGTGATCTGTTGTCTCGCTGCACCGATCAACTCGGCGCCGGCAACTTGGAGGGAATATTAGTTGACGAACCGAGGGAAAGAGGACGTCGTCGCTCGTCGGAGCAACCGTAGCGGAAGAGGAAGTGAAAGGAGAAAGGCGACGGTTAGAGAGAAATGTGCATAAATTGCACAGAGGCGGTGGGAGGGAAAATTTTGCTTTTCGACACTTTTGGTTTTGGAGACAGAGGAGGAGGGAGAAGAAGAAGACGGAGAAGAAATCGCGAAGTGAAAAAGACGGACGTTTTGATTTAATTGAAGGGATGATCATGATAGGGACGGAGAGGGCATGGGGCCCTGATATCTTCTCTCTCATTTATACTAGGGCTGGCTATTTGGACCGGGACCGGATGAAAAACCGGAAACCGGACCGTATAACCCCGACCGAGACCGGACCGGGACCGGATAGTAAACAATCCAATCGAATCTTTGGGCTTAGATTTGAGGTAAAAAACCGGATAAAGACCGGATAAGAGAGCTCAACACCAAAAACTTAAGGGTAATTTGCATAAACGGTCAAAAACCTTTGCACTTAGTACAAAACTTAACCAACTCCTCACCCTTGTAGGCCTTAGGCCACTCAAATTCCCACAATCTCAATATAAAATCAAGACCGAATTGGGACCGGACCGGGTCAAGACCGGACTGTATCCAATCCAATCTTCGGTCCTTATATTTTCAAAAAACCCGGACTGGACCGGATCAATTTGGGCCAATTTAACCGGACCGGACCGTATAGCCACCCCTAATTTATACGGCTGACTCATCAGTCTGATATATTTCTTCTTTCTTTACCATAGAAATTTTTTTTTTTTTTTTCTGGCCAGCTATTTTTGGTTTCAAATGAAATTTTTACATAGGCTAAATTACACGCTTTGGACACTCAAATTATATAAATATTTCACGTTTTCCACCCAATTTTTTTTTCTTCATATTAGCCACTAATTTTATGATCTTTTCACCGTTAATCACGATTGTCAATCTCCGTCAAACTCCATTAATGCCGTCAGATTTATAATGACGTGGCCAACGGGAATGCTGATTGGGCTGACAAAGGTTGAAAAAGACGTCCAGTCAGCAAAATAATCTACTCTAATTATAGATTTAAAAAAATTGTCTAGTTCGGCGTTAACCGAAATAACCAGAGTCGCGACGGTAAGAATCATCTTCGCCTTGTTACCCATATCCGCTGCCAGCTTGTAACCCTCCATCTCTCCAGAATTCAACATTAGCCCCCTCAAAATCGTGACCCTTCTCCCTCCAGTTCGATCCCAAATTGTGACCCAGGAAAAGGTAGAATCCACATTCAAAACAAGCGCGTGGGAAGGTATTCCCAGATCTAGAAAACCTTGTTCGCGACGCCAGAATTGATTTTGAGCCCAAATCACTATTAGGATCGTTTGGTTTTGGTGATAGTTTGGTGGGATAGTTACAATAAACGCATTGTCCATAATACTTTTTTTTTGAATTTTCTGCACAAAAAATACATGCATTGTGTTGATTGGATTAGATTTAGTGAACCACGTAAATCGTGTGTCTGCGTTTTCGATTCTCACTTTCGTATTCTTGCTTTATCCATCCCGGCGATTTTCGATCCGTAGCAGCGCGTTTATAACACATTGTTTACTTGATTTGACACAAACTATCACTCAAAATGAGTGATAGTTAAATCTCAAGTTTTGGTTGAGATTGTTGAGATTGTTTGGTAGCGATTGTTAGGTTTTGTTTTGTTCCAACTATGTCCCTACCTTTTTATGTGTGTTGCTTTTTTAATATTAAAAACAAAGGGCAAAAGTGACATTTCATCCCAAAAGCAATATAACTTATTACAATATTTGAATAACTATCACAGAAACCAAATGATGTAAACTACAATACACCAATTTTCTTATATACATGCATATTATTATGCATGCATTGATAACAATGCATCAATTTAACTATCACCAAAACCAAACGATCACTAAGTCATAGTGAGCTTGAACATGATTCAATGAGGGTCATGGGCATCTTGTATGAGGTCATGTCGTGCCACAAAATTGTATAAAAATATTCTAAGTCTGGGAAGGATGTGCCGCTTCAACGAGGAGGGTCATGCCCATCTAGAATATAGAAGCACATGTCGTCTTAAGAAGACATCATGGAGGTGAAAAGGAGTCTTTGCCCCCTTAAGTCACGTGATCATGGCTCCTCCAGTGTATAAAAATATTTTAAGTCTGGGAAGGATGTGCCGCCTCAAGAAGAGAGTCATGTCCGTCTAGAATCTAGAGACATGTGCTGCCTCATGAAGAGGGCCATGTCCGTCTAGAATCTAAAAGCACGTGTCGCTTCACAAATAGGGACATTTCCGTCTACAATCTAGAAGTACATGACATCTCAACGAAAGGGACCAACGACGAGAGGAAGTAGTCCCACTGTGAATTACATGAGCCATGGTGGCAACGAAGAGCACATGGTGTGGTTACAAGTCAAGAGGCCAGACAACGCAAGAAGCATCTCTCAAAGGAGACAAAAAAATGACTAAGTCTAAGAGGTTCATCCTGCTTCACGAGAAGGGGCATGGATGCGAGACAAGAAGCCCTAGACCCAATTGGAAAATACTAAATATGAGAAGGTCATTTCGTGTTACGAGAAGGGCCATAGACATCACTGAGAAGTCTATGATCGCGAATGAAGCATTACCACCCTAAGTAATTATGTTATCATGTATGCAACCATTCACACTCTACTTTGTTCATACCACCATGATACACTTCTATACCGCATAGTATACTTTGAATAGTACAATTAATCAGATTTATCTGTGTAAAAAAATGAAATTAGAATTTAAAACAAAAGAGATATACCCCGTCAATATTAATGGGGAAAAATTAGTCACCTTGAGTTTCTAACAGATAAGGTAATTTCGGTTATTAAAATTTTAGTACCGGTTAACTATTGATTATCCGATAAATCTTGAACCTCCTACTAATCAGAATCGATGTCCGGTTCAATTTTGACAGCAAATAAAAAACATATAAGCAAAACAAGGTGAAAGAAATTCTAATGCCTAAACACGGAGAAGCAGAACGATTTAAACCGGTTAGAAAATATTGCCCTCTATCACCGCCATTCCTTAACCAACTGTAATTCCTAATCATCGAAAGATTAGGTGCTCTCTTCTATCATCATCCTACTTATACACAAAAGACGACGCGAATTTCTCCGACGACTCCTCTTCACCTCAGTGCCAGTCGTAATTACATAGGTACCTTCACGCCCTTCGAGTTCCCCAAAATCCCCCACCCAATTCCCCGACAATGTCCAGTGACGGCGGCGCCTTCCCGCGATTCGACGTGGCGGCGGACGCATCCGAACACTCCTATTTGACCAAGCACCAGAACAAGGCGATTTGCTCTCCGAACATCTCCGCCGACACGCACAAGCAGATTATGCGAGAATGGAGGATCCTGGAGAAGCACCTGCCGGACTCGATTTGGGTTCGGGTCTACGAGAACAGGATCGATCTCCTGACCGCGGCCATCGCCGGGAGCCAGGGGACGCCGTACCACGACGGCCTCTACTTCTTCGACATTAGATTCCCGCACGACTACCCTAATTCGCCGCCGTGGGTCCGCTACAGGTCGTTCGGGTTTCGGATGAACCCGAACCTGTACGCAAACGGGCGTGTCTGCCTGAGCTTAATCAACACGTGGGTCGGGAATCGGACCGAGAAGTGGAATCCGGGCGATTCGACGATCCTCCAACTCCTGATCTCGATTCAGGGTCTCGTGCTGAACGAGAGGCCGTACTACAACGAGCCGACTTTGGGGGTTTTGCCCAGGATGTTCTCCGGCGACAAAATGTCGAATGTGTACAGCGAGGATACCTTCGTTCTGAGCTGCAAGACGATGCTGTGCCTGCTGCGGAGGCCGCCCAAGGGATTCGAATCGCTTGTGAAGTCTCATTTTAAGGAAAGGGGTTTTGAGATATTGTCGGCGATGATGGCGTATCGTAGTGGGGAATGTAGAGTTGGCTGTTACGGGATTCGTGATGGTGGTGGGTCGTCAGTTCAGGGGCGGAAGGGTCAGCCGCCACGGAAGTTCAGGGCTGAGATTAAGCAGCTGGTGCCGCTGCTGGCGACTGCGTTTGCCGGGACAGGGGCTTCTGTGGGGAATTTCGTCGAGCAGTTGGCGGGTGAGAAGGTGGAGAGGGATCGAGGTTGTGCGTGTTTTTGCTTGTCCTTCCTATTCTCTAGTTGATGATCAATTTCA